GGAGAGCGGGGGGTGGTACCATCCGCGGCGGGGATGCAGGGAAGGGCTGAGCCACAGCTCTGCCACCGCTTCCCTGCGGTGGCTGTGGCTAAATCACCCCCACACGCAGCCCCGTAGCTTTCTGCCTTCCTAATTCCTCTCGCCGGCCTCGGCGCAGGCTCCGAAGCACCCACACAGCAGAGCCGAACGCCGCGCGTTTGCTGGTGGACTGCGCCGCAGGACGCATCTTGGCAGCCCAGAAAAAAAACAAAATAGCTGCAAGTGAAGCCAGCCCCGAGCACACAGCGCCACAGATGAGCGGGGTGTCCTTACCCACGAGCGTAGCCGCCCGTGAAGCACCGCAGACGTGACAGGCAGCGTTAGGAGCCTGACAGGCTTTCAGAGGAGAAAAGCAGCAGCCGTAATTGCCCGGACTTCAATCCTGTTGGTGTCTGCAGAAGGTCCAGCACCTTTGATAGCGTGACCTTAAACACTGAGAGAGACACAGGTCCCACAGTGAGGAGTGAAGCCGTCATTTCTCCTCGCTGAGAGCCAGGCGATGCTGGCACAAGGAGTCCCAGTGTCTCTCCCATCCATCCCACACAAACCTCCCGCGTGGGGAGCAGGGCTCGGGCTGCAGCGCCGGAGGTAAATAGCCATTAATGCAACACAGCGTTAATGGCTGTTTCGAGCTAACGCCGGGCACTAAGCAAGGGGCCGAGCCTGCGTGGAAGGGCGCACAGAAAAGCCATTAGGATGCACATCAGACTTTGAAAGCGCCGTCGCTGTGAAGCAGCATGCTCGGTTTTCTCACATTCATAACCGAGGGTGGAACAGATGGCGAAGGTTTGGGAGGAAGCTAATGTAATACAGAGGAAGAGATAATATGTGGATTTAAATAACCTACAATGCCAGCAACAATTTGTTCTAGCAGGAATTGCAGTGCAGTGGCAAGGTTTTGCCTGGCTGGGGTGGGGGGGTCATTGGACCCACTCGCATCCTTAGTCCTGCAAAAAAACCCCACCGTGTCTTGCTTGTGTTCCAGATCTTTTCACCCAAAATGAAGGCTCCCCGACTTCCCCAAAGCCCCATTTCTCACACCAGCCTGAAATCCCTCTCCTCTTTAGTGTGTGGATAACCACAGCTCCCGGGCCGGGCTGGCGGTGCACAGTGCCCACGCTGTTTCAGCTTGCACAACAGCCTGCATCCTCCATCCGCAGCCCTGCCAGCTGGGAAACTGCTCCCGAAAAGGGCATTTCTCCTCTCCCGGGCAGCTGGGCTGTTTGGGAAAGGTGCCTGCTGTGAACGGGAAGGATGCTCTTAGCCAAGAAGAGGTATTTTCACCCTACTTTTAAGAGCCCTGTGCAGAAGGGAGGACATTATTAAAAATAATCTGCCATGAACCAGCTCTACACACGCCATCCTGGTGGGTTGGTGCTGTGTCGGAGTCCCAGCTCCGGCTTCAAGAGCAAGCAAACCTCTGGCAATGCTCATGGGAACAGGATAGGGATGCAGGTCTTGCAGAAATACACTCTTAAAATTACCCCTTCTCTCCCTACATCTCTATTTCTGTCTTAGAAATGAGGCAGGAACAGCTGGGGAGTCCCTTGGTGTCCGACGTCTTGCGCACCCCACGTGGGGATGCAGACCTCTGTAGAGGAGTCAGACGTTATAGGTTGCTGTATGAGCTATAGGAACGTTGTCCTTCGTGGTACTTTTTCACCAGTCTCTTAAAAAGAGACTCCCAGAACCCCCCTTCAATGGGGCTGCACATCAGTAATTGAAAATTGCTCTTACAAAGGTCATTTCTTGAGGCCGCCGCCGCTCAATAACATTGATGAAATTCAGCGCTGCTTGGTGTTGGCTATCAGGGGACTTTGGGGTTTCGGGGTCATCAAGCCAGCGCTGCAGCCATCCAAACGCTTCCAAATCACATTGAAAGCCAGCCGATCTCTGTGCCTCTCTGTGTGCACTGACCCCTGCGTGCCCAGCACAAACTCCCATCAATCGTCAGCGTTGGGGCGGGTGAAAACGGAAGCCATCGCGCCAGGACCCGTGTCGGGGCTGTTGGATTAAGGGACATATGTGAACGTCACCGGCCTTTCTGGCCTTAAAGGCCCACGAGGCGCTGAGCTCAAGCCTGTGCCTCAATGCTTCATAGGTACCTGGAGCCTTTGAGGAGATCTAAAATGGGAAAGGGGATAAAAGGAATTGTTGAGACGCTGGGAAGGGAAAAAGGCTTTCTAAAACGCCAGCAACCCTTTCATCCATCAGTACAAAACACATCATTTTTAGGGTTGGGGGGGAAAAAAAGAAGAATGCATCTCCTTTTCTGCAGGTGCTGAACATCTGCAGCTTCTAAAAGGGACAAGGAGCGTTTTAGGTGCTGGGGGCCGCAGGGTACCTGCGAGAGGGGGCATGAACACTGCCCAATCCCTCTGCCTGCCCTCGTTTAGCAGGAGCAGTCGCGGGTGTTGGGATGGAGACTTCTCGGGACACCCCGGGGTCTCACTAGAGGCACCCTGGAGGCGTGAGTAGGCCCCTTTAAACCCCCCCGTCTCATCCCACCAATGGCAGAGCCATCCCACCGATGGCAGAGCAGCAGCCAAAACCCCCCCACCGCAGCCACCCCTGACATTTTCCTCCACCAGACAAAATCGCAGTGGTCTCAGCTGTTTGCTGACGCCGCTGCTGCTTCTTGCAAACAAACTGCGGGCGGGGGGGGATCCCAGGCGCCGCAGCATCTTCCTCGCCCGCCTCCTGCCGTTATTCTGCCATCGAGATATTCTGAGCAGGTTGCGCTGTCGCTGGGGAAGGCAGAGGAGGCAGCAGCCAATCTGCAGCCGATGCGGATCGCAGCCGCGCAGCCGGGGCCGAGGGAGGGGACGCGGGCAGGGGGCTCAGCCCAGGATGGAGCGAGGTGGGGAGGGGGACACGGAGCACGGCGACTCACCCCTGAAACAGCAGCTCCTTGCTGATGCGGGGGATGGATGCTGCCTTCTTCAGGTTGTTATTCTTCAGAGAAGTTAGGCAGCGTTAGCCCTAAACAGTGTAAATGAGATGAAAATGAGAGCTGGCTGTTTCCTCTGCCCAAAACCAGGCACCAGTGTTGGAATGGTGAAGCTTCACCTGCATCTCAGATCAGGTTTGGTGATGCTCCCGTCTGTCTGCCTTTGGACCAGTGCTGGGCCTGGGGACGTTATTGTGGTTATCATCCGTGGGATAAACCCTGCAGCTTATCCCTGTGTTCTTCTCTGTCTTCCCACCCCAGATTTTCCCATTATTTCCTTTTCCCCATCAGGAGCCTTGCCCAGGTCTCCTAGCGCAGGCACATCTGGGTTTTCCTTATTTCTCCCATCTCAAGGGAACAGGTTCAAAGCCCAGTCCCAAACGGGCACAAACCCGTGTCCGTACTGGTACCAGTTACAATGACATGGGATAAGGAGCAGGATCAGACCCGCAGCCATCGCAGCTCGTGAGATGGGCCAGGGCTCAGCATCGCCGCAGGGGCTGCAGCCTGAGGAGCCGTCACACGCACAGAGCAAACGGTTTGGGGGATTTTAAAACAGATAATAATGGGAAACTTCTTCCTCTAATCCCTTTCATGTACAGACATCGCAGGCGTTACTTGTAACGACACGAGGTAAATCATGTTCAGAGAGAAACGCGACGCTTAACTCGACAGCGTCCTTTTAAAACCCTTTGAATCACGGGGGCCCTTTGATGTACCTGAAGAGATCACCTGGCTGACTCTGCTCCTGTCATCCGGGATTATTTTTTTAGGGTTTTGAGCCCAACTCTGCGTCTTCTTCTGGCCTTGAAAAAGTTGGGATCGGACACACAAACCCCAAAAATCTTAATAACGCTGGTATCGCGTGCCCGTTCCTCTCACACACCCAGCATCTCCCTTCCTCGAGTCACGGGAGATGCTGCACCGCTTTGTCAAGGAGGCAAAGCGAATCCCTGATGTTTCTTTTGCTAAATGCTCCTTAACCGCATCACAGCAGCCGGTTCCTGGCAATTATGTGACAATTCAGCACAAATGTCACCGAGCTGCTAAGTTTTCAGCACTTTCCGCAGTGCTGAGGCTGGAAAACAACGCGTATATATTTTTTGTGCTGATCCAAGTCCTTAGTAATTACACTTAATAGATCCCAGAGGGATTCCTAGGTAACCTGCACTATGGTTTCCATGGCAGAGAGACGGAGCTTGTACCCTGCGATAACAGATAATAATGGATCGTTAATGCTTACATTAATTGTGCCACAGTTGTATTTGTAAACCGGCTGTCCCATGTATTCCCAGTAAGACTCCGGAGCTGCTACACAATGGTTCAAGGATGAAAACAAACCAGGCGGAGGGGCAGAAGTGGTGGAGCTCGGCCCCAGCCACCATCAGAGCTGCAGTGTGCCAAAACTTGTTACTTCTACAGCCACAGTTACCGTTATTACGAGGGCTGGAGAGAGTCCAACGCAGGGCTACAAAGATGATCAAGGGAGTGGAGCATCTCCCTTCTGAGGAGCGGCTGAGGGAGCTGGGGCTCTTTAGTTTGCAGAAGAGGAGACTGAGGGGAGACCTCATTCATGTTTATAAATATTTAAAGGGTGAGTGTCACGAGGATGGAGCCAGGCTCTTCTCGGTGACAAACAATGATAGGACAAGGGGTAACGGACACAAACTGGAACACAGGAGGTTCCACTTCAATTGGAGAAGAAACTTCTTCTCAGTGAGGGTGACAGAGCACTGGCCCAGGCTGCCCAGAGAGGTTGTGGAGTCTCCTTCTCTGCAGACATTCAAAACCCGCCTGGACGCCTTCCTGTGCAACCTCATCTGGGTGTTCCTGCTCCGGCAGGGGGATTGGACTGGATGAGCTTTTGAGGCCCCTTCCAATCCCTAACATTCTGTGGTTCTGTGGTTTATTCACATTTCAGTGTTTCCAGGGGTTAGAGGCTCTCTAAACTTCGGAGGAAATCTTAAAAGCCCTTGGAGAAGGGGCTTGCAGAAGGACCCTTTTGCCCGGCTGATACTGGTGTACGTTGCCCATCCTTGGCGGGTGTTTTCCTCCTCCTCCAATGGAACCATGGGATCTTATTATAAAGAAAAATTAAAAACCCCAGCCACAGAGCTGCCTCGTTTCGCTGATGAAATTCACCATCGCCCGGGATGATGCTTAGGGTGCAGCAGAGCTTGATTTGATTTTCCCTTTCCCGGAGCCAGGCTGGTAACCGTGCAGGGTGGAATTCATCTCACGTCAGCGCAGACAGCCTCGCTGGTTAGCGCAGACTGGATGTCTAACGTTTAGACAGCTAAAATTGGGCGAGGGGACGCTGCCAACTGGCGTCTGCTTCCCAGTAAAGCAGGTTCTGGACTGGCGGGCACAGTGCGGGGAGGCAGCGCGGCGTTTCGCAGCCGAGCCCCATCTCCAGAGCGACGGGCAGGGCGCTTTAAACAAATCTCTGCGGTTCCTCGCAGCCTGCTCTAGCACCACTATTTCAGGGCTAAAGAGAGTGTTGGAGCTTTTTAAATATAAATATATATGTATATATATAAATGAAATGCTTTGCAGACTGCTTGCTGCCTCACACAAACCCCAGGCGTGGAAAATCAGCCTGACCTCTGGTTTTCTGGCACCCCCAGAGCCTGCGATGCTGCTGGCTTTGGGGTTTTCTTTGGGTTTTTCTAAATCTCAAGAGGGCGGAAGATGAGATAAAGCATCGCAGAAGTACTGAAGCAACACGCAAAGTCACAAATCGAGGGCTATGTCTCTCGTTTCTAAGCGCGGGCGGCTCACGATGGAGGGCTAGCGTGCGGCGTGAGGAGTTGTAAAAGCTGTGACTTCCCAAACGCTGGCTGGAGCTGCGGTAAAAGGGAGTTCACTGACCTATTGCCAGGCCGGGCTCAGCAAAAACAGCTCTTCCAAAGCACAACCCAGACGTGATTCATCTCCTGCCTGGGCACGGAGCAGGAGTCACTTCGCAGACACAGATGACACACGTCCCCGGCCACCCTCGCCATCAGAGGGGAGAAGGGCAAGCGCCTCCTCTGAGCAGAGGTGAAGGCGCAAAGCCCTTACAAGTTCGAAATAAGCCAGACATAAGCATTTAGAAATGCAGCAGGATTCGTAATTGGGAGCTAAAACAGAAGCTCCGGAGTCGCAAAGCTGCTTATCCACCAGCTGCCATGGGCAGGGCTCCAGCCCCTGCCAAGACACCGGCCCTGGATGGAGTCAGCGCAGGGGAGAGGATGCTGAAAAGAGGGAGCTGTAAAAAGGACACCGGATTTGCAGGCTGGAGCTGCTCAGTTCACAGGGACTCCTCCAGCTCCCTCCTATTTCTTGGGGTGCTTTTACTGGCAAATGTGCAAGACCCCGCAGATGCGGCGGTCAAGTGAGTGTTTGCTCCTGCCTCTGCATTGAACAGGGGGTGCAGGATGCAAACAGATGCAGCCTGGACCAGGGAGCTGAGCAAAACATTTGTGCCTGGGAATCATAGGTGCGTGATGCTTAGTTTGTTGATCCCCCCCCCTTTTTCTAGGTGAGGACATGACTTTGATGTCCTGGTGTAGAAACGAAGGGTGTGCTCCTTCCCTGGACACCATCCCACAAATACAAGTACCAAAGGTGGTGATTTGGGGCAGTCCAACAGGTCCAAAGGGTCTGTGTTTGTGAAGGGAATGAAGAGGCGGCCAGCCCTGCTCTACGGTTTTGATCAGGGAGGAGAAAGCTGCCTCCACATTATCCCAACCCCATGGCAGCTGGGATGCAGCTTCACCTCCTTCATGGCATCGAAAGGGCCTCGTAGTCCAAGTAGAGCAGGGGCAGAAATGGTCAGTGCCGTTTTTGGCAGGGGAAAGCAGACAGCGAGTGGACCAAGGCGAACACAAGCACGAACCAGAGCAGTTTAGTCCTCCCCTGGCTGCAAGGTGGAGGGAACCGAACGCATTTTGTGTCTCAGTGGTGCCCTGCCAACAGAAACAATGACAGTGATAATCACCCACAATCTGTTATTCCATTACCACCAGCTCAAAAACCCGTAAAACCCAATAACCTTTTGAAATGAAGCTAAACCCCCCCCCTAAAATGTAAATAACACACAGCATCGCAGGGCTTGGCAGCGGCGAGGGGGGTGGTTTCTGCCTTGGAAAGGCTTTGCGGAAAGATCTGCTGGGAGCAGCCAGGCGTGGATACCTGGCTGCCAGGAGAGGCTCTCCGCAATCCCTGCGTTTGCTTGGCTTCCTTTGACCCTGTTGCTAAGCTACAAATATGCCTTTCCAGCGAGCTCCAGCATCCGCGCTCCCACCCACTCCCAAATGCGAACTGAATCAGCCTGCGCAGAAGAGCAACCATCTCTGGCCAGCAAGGAGGAGTTAGCTGAGTTCCCTCTCTTTTCTTATATATATATATATTTTTTTTTTTTTTTTAAGTTAATTTAATTCTTTTCCTCAGCAGCTCTAGAAAGGTTGCCCACCCCTGCCCCGTGCCAACCCAAAAGCCACGAGAGGCTTTGGGTTACGAGGACGGGAGCGGAGAGAAAAGCACTTTGTGCCATTCCAGGCGATCCAAGCTGGCACAGCTCCGCTGCAGCAAGAATAGACGAGGATACCAGCTCCGTCGAGAAATAGCTACCACCTACCTGCACACACGCTCGCTCGCCCTGATGCCAGCCACGTTAACGCTTCGGGACAGCAAACGTTGACGGGGTGGCGGGGTGGATGTGTTTTGGACCGGAGCTCTGCCGAACGACGCATTTTGGGGGGGTTTTTCTGCAGTGCTGATGCCAAGCGGTCTCGTCGCATAGGTCCTGGGATGCTGAGGGGGTCCAACAGCCGCGTCCCTGTCAGATGCACCACAAATTACCTGGGGTTTGTGCTCAGTGAGGGGTGGTGCTGGGGTGGTGTCAGCCCGGCCTGCGTGGGGGTGACACGGCCCAGCTGCGACGTGGGCTGCTGTAACCATTTCCAAATAGACCCCAGGAGCTTAATTTGGTCCATGTGAACCCCAGGAAAGGTTATGAGGGCTTTCCCAAAACGTTGCCTTAGCACTGAGGCCGTACTGACCTCACTGTTGCTGTTATTGGGACACCCGTACAAGCAATCACAGTTAATTGGGAAATATCCTTTGAAGGCTCCTCCAAACCACCCGCAAACAACTCTGTGATCCAATACAACCTTTTATTTGCCTTTTCATTGACCACCCTGGGTAAGCAACTGATCTTAGTTACTGTTTTCAGGCCAGATTTCCTATGTGGATGAACACAGGGGAGTCCATGAGCGACTGCGGTCTCAATCGATGGCAATGGTGGGGCTCTGCTTGCAGATGCTGGGTCCGGGCTCACGTTGGGACTTACAGTGGGGACAGCAGAGTCTGCTCTGTGGTTTTTAGGTATACACGTGTGTCTGTTGAGGCAAATGGATGGAAAAGAAGCGCTGAAGTGGCTCAGGAAAGCCTAAGCCCATCAGCTTTGCTGGAGGGACGGTGCCACCAGGGATGCCACAGGCCCCTTGGGCTATGGGGTCAGTGTGGAGACGGAGCCAAGGGGCTCCTGGCAAAGCCCAGATGATTTCAGGCTTTATACTGCACCCTCTAACTCCTCTCCTTCTCTTTCTCTTGCAGGGTTCAGCTCCCATCCTGGTAGTCATGGTGATCTTACTAAATATTGGAGTCGCCATTTTGTTTATTAACTTTTTCATCTAATTCAAGACTGTCTCGTTTGCAAAAATAACAGTTACATGTATGAATGGGGGAAAAACAAAACAAAACAAACAAACAAACAAAAAAAAATCACAAACAGAAAACCAAACGACAACAACAGAGAAAAGGGAAGAGGAAAAACAAACAAACAAACAAACAAAGAATCCTAACTCGAACTGTCCTCCGACAATTTCCAAGTCTTTTCACAGAAGAACAACAAACGACCGAGTCTCACTCACAGTTTGCCTTTTTTCCTGGGTAATGTTTTTTGGATTTTAGCCAAAATTCTTTGCTTGTATAACACTATGCTGTGTGGCATGGCAAAATGCTAGCAACACTCTGCCCCCCCAACACTGGAAAGGATCAGAAGGAATCCCAACAAAATAAAACCTCGTTTCCCTTCCCCTCACCTCCCCCCCCCAAAAAAAAAACCATAATGTTTGTTAACAACAGTCATGAACCCCAAAACGGAGATGAGGGGAGCATGGGGAGTTTGTTTGAAGTATGTACGGGTCCTGGGATGCTCCAGGCTGAGTTTCCCAGGGAAATCCACAACAGCTTTAATGATTAAATGGGAGGGAAAAGCAAAATTGGGCTTTTCTTCCTTCTCCTTTCGCAAACGGAGAAACGTTGCTGAGAGAAGGAGCACGGGGAAGGCACGAACCCCGTCCAGGAACGGCAACGGGCCCCGTTTTGTTATTTGGTTTTAAAGCAAAGCAGCAATTGGTGTTTTGCTGAATTTCCTGGGGTGGGGGGAACAGGGATCACAAGGTGTGAGCAGCAGCCCCACCGCCCTCCTGCCTCTGCTCCTCCTCCCCAGGCTGCTCCCTGCCATGGCAATGCTGGAAAAGCACCCAATGCCACTTCAAACCCACAGCCAATTTCCCCTGGGTAAAAATACGCACCCAAATTCCCCCAAAAACCAACTTGCAGGCCCCTTCAGCGACACAAATTGAGTGGCTGCTGGTCGCAGGGCCCTGCTCGCCAACACGCGAGGAGCAGCGTTAGACGAACATCCCATCCCAAAAGATGCCAGGGAGCAGATGGTGGGGAGGGACTGGGGAGTGAGGGCTCAATTCAACCCCTTTAGGGTACCAATAAAACAAAATAAAGCAAAAAAAAACCCAAACCCCACAAGATAAACCTGTTTATTCCAAAGGCATCCGGGGAGGAGCACTGGAGCATGTCCCAGAGAGGAGGGAGCGGGTGGTGGGTTTGTCTCTTACATCTTGCTGTGGACTGTTTCAGACATCATGCTTGGGCTCTGAGCATGTAGTATTTTGCACTTTGTAATGCAGGATGTATATTCCAGCTTCCAACATGTCCCTGTAAAAGAAAAAAAAAGAAAAAAAGAACAAAAAAAAGAACAAAAAAAAAGAACAAAAAAACCAAACCTCATTGGCAATGGCAGCCTCTAAGGATGTATTTGTTTCTGTTTTCCTTTTTTTTTTTTAACCCCTCCTACGTCACTTAATTTGTTCGTTTCTACCATCTTTGTACTATGCCTGCCTTGATTTTTCTCCCCTCCCCTGTCCCCCACGGATAATCTGCATTACTCATTAAAGATGCCGTACCCCTGGTCTGAGCTGTTATGGTCCCACTCACAACCAGCGTGGTCTCAGCTGGCGTTCCCCTCGCTTTTCCAAAACCCATTTTGGGGATGGGATTTGCCTGAGATCCCCGGTGCGGATCCAGCGGCTCCTTTGGGGTTTGGGACGTGCAAGGACCAAATGCCACCCTCAGCGCTTCCCTTCAGCGGGAGGAGGGGTGCGAGCCACCCGAGGGTGGGATGAAACCCATCTACAGAGGGATTTTGGGGGGGAAAAGAGGGGGAAGAAACCCTCCTCAACATTTCACATACAGAGTTGTTGGGTACAGCCCTGACTTGTGGACTCAGCTTTGCTTTGCTTCTGTTTTAGCTGTTTCTCTGCTACCTTTTCAGCAGATTTCTTATTACACTGCACTGGATTGCTATATTTTTAACCAGAAATAAACTAAGGATTAGAGCATGTGCCAGTTAAATTCAGTTCTTTTCCTTACATGGTCTTATTCCCTCCTGTCGCAGTTTTCCTTCCTTTCCCTTTTCAGGTAGAGGGCTCTGGGTGGACAGGGTAACCGATAAACCAAAGGCAACGAGATCCCATAACTTGATTTAATTTTCCACAGCAACTGTCCATCGTCTTCCTTTTCTTTTTCTTTTCAGTCCTCAGTCATCTTTTTTACACTTGAACACAACCAAAATAAACCAGATAACGACAGAGCGTGACCGCAGCCCCAGGAACTCTCCCCTATTCTGTAATCCTGGTTGCAGCTCTTTGTGAAGACTCTCGAGGAGGTTTTTTGGTACATTCAAGCACGCAGGTCCCACCCAGAGCAGGTTACAGAGTTATTGCAGACACAGGATGATATTTAGATATAAATTAAACAGCACCAAAATGCCTCTCGTTATCGACCAAATTAAAGTAATAGTGACTTCACAACGGGGCTCTTGACACTGGTGACCACCACGTTGCTCCTGCCCTTGCCCACACACCAGCAGTTACATACAAACACAACTCTGATTTTACATCTCTCTGATCCACAGGATAAAACCTCCACCAGGCCAAGGTTTGTTCAGCACAAAAGACAGCCAAGGCCTAATATTAATTAGCTCCCAAAATAACGACTCCTTGATTAATTACAGGGAGCTGAGCAATTTATCTTCATTCTGGGCTTTTCACATTTGCCCAAGGCCAGAAATATTCCTGAGAAGCAGTCCAGAGAGATAATTCAGTATATTGCCTTGTTTTATGAGCCCCGGATTCGTACCTATCTACCTAAAGCACATTAAAATGTCTATCATGGTGGTGTATAAATCTATATGAACTGCCCGTACCTGCTGGTTTACGTCCACGCTGACAGATGCACGCCAACAGCTGAAGGCTTATATCAATGTTTTTAGGCTGCAATGATATTTTTATGCTCCTACAGAGGCACACGCAGCACCTGAAACACAAAGAGGGGCCGGGGCTGGAGGAACCAGCCATCCCAGTAAAGCCACTGGGAAAAGGCCTCCTGTCCCTCCTTGGGGACACCCAGGTCCCCCCAGGGCAGACCCCACCCCACCTGTGCGAGCCAGGAGTTGGTTTCACATCGCATCCTTGGGGAAGGGACACACGAATTCTCCGCCTGCTCGTGCCACGTCAGCTTCTCACCAGCCCATCTGGCATCTGCTTGGCTTGTGCCCGAGACCCAGATTCTCCAAGCGCCTCCAGGGGCCCAATCTTTTGGAGATACCAAGCTGTTGCAGTATCCATTTACTTTGTGTGGAGTTATGAAGCCTCAGTGCTGCTGGAAAATAAAATAATAATAATACAGATTGCAACAGAAGGGGAGGGGCGAGGGAGGAAATAATGCCATTTTGATGAAGAAAGGGCTTAATTGAAACCCAAGGATTAATTAGGCGTCCTTACAGGCTCTGGCAAGTTAAGGGAGGATGGAAAAGGAGATTTTCTTTTGAATTGTTGTAGGGTGAGGCTGGTTTCAGAGATATGTGCAAAACCAGAGGCTGGATGGGATCTCCTGCCCATGCTCGGCTGCACGTGGGTAAGTTGCTCACACAGAAGACGGGCCTTGCAGATGCTTGATGTGGTGACAAGTTTTCCTGGTATAGGGCAACAGCTCGACTCCTCGGGTAGCCCCTAAATGCCTCACATCAGTCATGTTGTTATCGCTGACTTTCTTCACTCAAGGCTCTGACCAGCTCTGCGCTGAGCCCAAGGCTTGAACCACAGCAAGCACCAGATCACGCACCTTTGAGTAACAGATCCACCAAGACTCTGCGTCCCTCAGTGGCATCTCAAGCCCTCGAGTTCCTTTCATTGGTGTTTTGACTCATATTAACCCACAGGCGCTCGGCTTCAGCGCTGCCACCAACCTGGTTTTCCAGGGTATGCGTAATCACCTGATTTCCATGGCAAGGCAGGGAGTTTCAACAGGCAGTGAACCCCCAAAGGTCTGCATATGAAACTCAGATACATCGTGAGCTGTGTCCTTTAACCTGAGGCATCTCGGAGGTCATGCTCTGTAACAAAGGAAACTTCGCTTTCGAGATGCTGATTGCTGCTGAGCACTGCCCAAAAGTTTTCTGCTGGAGGGATGACTAAGAAACGCTGTGGTGGGATGCACATCCCCATCTGGAGGCGTCAATGGAAAATAAACTTTAAAGAGACTCACGTTCACACGCAGGTGTTATTTACTCCACTACACTGCTACCTAGTAAACTCACAATCTGTATCATCTGCCCATTTCCACTTATCCCTAATTTGGGTACACTACTGACAGTCCAGCACAGCTCAGGCTCTCTTATAGACTCACTTGTTTTAATGGGATAAAAACACCAACATCTAAGCCCTTACCTCCTCCAGAAAAGCAGCCACCCCCATCCCAGCAGCAGCTGCATTTTGCCATCAGGTGCTTGGTCTTGTTGGAAGGGGGAGCTGTGAAAATCACTCCTACAAGCAGGAGGAGCTCTGCCGCCCAACCTCTCCAGCGTGGAGCACATTTCAAAGCTCTTGTTTGTCTGCAAGGTTCAGTCACTGTGGGTTAGTGACGAGGGATGCTGCAGCTGTTGGGCCAACAGCTGCTTCCCAGCAGAAGCTGAAGCATTTGATACGCTCCCATTCCCACTCCCATCCCTCAGAGACCTGCTTTTGTGAGAACAACTGTGTCTTCAGCCCTTCTGCCCTGCTGACAGACACAACGTGCTCGGGGCTGTTTAGTTTGGTTGGACCCACCCATGGTATTGCTGGAGGAGAAGTTTTGCTGATATAAAACAGTTGATGAATGAACCCCTATTCTCTCCAAAACCAAAGAGGAAGGACGAGATCAGCACAGCATGTGCAGAGCACAAGCAGCCTGACAAACAAGCAATTCGCCAGCAGAGGAGTTTGGGACCGGGCTCTCTCCAGAAGCCACCACAGCAGGTAGGCAGCGCTGCGAGGAGACCAAAAACTCAGCGTGACTGAGCCAAGTCTTCACTATCAGCAAAATCCCGTGAACAGAGATGCTGAGAACGGTCTTTCCATCTACAAACAGCATTTATCTC